TATATGGACTGGTTTGTGCTGAGCTGCCATCTACTATAAATAAAGAAGGTTCAGAGTAACCTATAGTAACCTATAAATCCTTTTTCATTCAATTTTTCTGTGCGTAGAGAAGGAAATTTTTAGGTGTGCCCAAACCGGGCACGCCGTGCCGCAAAGGGTTAATTAAGCACCGTATGTTGAAAATGGGAGAAAAACTATTTTTAAAGAAAACGAGGTTTTAATTAATTGAAATGAAAAGACAATAGGTTTACACACATGTTATAAAACGTACTTTTCGGTACTTACAAGTGCTGAAATTCATTGCTTGCAGAACATCTCGGTCAAAGTAAGCTGTTTGACTGCCTTCATCCGTTTTCGAGCAGTCATATCGCGCATCCGCTTGATAGTGAGAAGTTGCATGTGGTCACACTCGGGCTGACGCTCCATCCAAGTTTCAAGGTCGCACAGTTTTCAAGGTCGGCAAACTCTTCATTAGCGTCTCGTATCTGCTTCAACTTCGACATTGAGGTCATCTACTTCCTCGATACTTTCTTCTCTCACACGTTCAATAAGCCTATCATTATTTAGAATTTTAAACGCAGTTTCTGACGAATCACACACCATCCATTCTACTGTATCCTCAGCACTAACTTCTGAACATCCAGGAATTTTTTAAAGACTGTTTCTTAATTCCTGAAGTGGCACGTCATCATCATCTTCTCGCGTCTCTTCCTTTTCAATTTTCTTGAGCTTCTTTTTCCTTTTTCTCCTTTTCTTGCTCTCCTTCAGTTGATTCTGAGAAATTCTGAAATTCTGAAAGCGATTCGTAAAGTCGGAGTTCGGATAATTGGAATTGTACTCTATATAAAACTCATAACAATATGTTTATAGTGAAGACTTTTTGTTAGATAAAATTAAAACTAATATTTAATGATTATTAAAAAAATCAAGAAAAGCTTACATTTTCAATTAAAATGTTTTATTCTTTCTGTTATCTGTAAGAGTGAGGCCCAACCATAAAATTTTGAACATTTCTCATGACACCGAGCTTATTATTAAAGCGTCTCAATTTTTTTTAAAAAAAGAAAGAAAAAAAGGGTGTCATAAAAGAGAAACGAGGTATAATGCTTAGTTTCTAAACTAATTATAAAAGATAATCTACAGTGACTCTGTCAAATATAAAACTGGGAGTAGATAATATGATCCTTGAGAATTGTGATTAGTCTCCAGCCATTAGACATTTTGTAAAAGATTATCTTCAATTTACTGATGTTTGATTTCACATTAAGGAGAGGAAATTTTTGACACTTTGAATAGCTAAATATAATTAAAATATAAATCTAGTTTTAAATTACATGTGTTTATACAAGCATATATTTAATTAGCCCAAAGGCGTTAGTCCAGAAGACGTATTAATTTCGTTTTGGCGATTTGCGTTGGTTCACTATAAATGTCTGTTCACTTTTAAAATTGTTGCCACCAAATATTATCGACCTTTGTTATATTTAAAGAAATTAAATAATGAAGAATCTGCATAAATGTATGTATGTTTCTCGAATTGGAATAAAACAACGGTACCTAGAGGCATCCAATTTTGAATAACGTAATCTTCTACCGAATATGAGCATCTGGAAGACCGAATTTTAAATTTGGAATTTGTTTTATTATCTATTTCATATTTTGTGAAACTTTAACGAACTTTTGATTAACAGACTCAATGATTTCAAAGCGAGCAATGGCAACGTTGTTCAGAAAAAATAATTTTTATCTTCAGAGCGTGAGACTATGTATCGGAAATTCTAAAGATATGCTCATTTTAAAATTATTTTGCAATATTCCTATTGCACTGAATTTTATGGTTGAAATGCAAAGAACATGATATTTAATAAATAACTGTAATAAGGATAAAGTAACGGTAAGATTTGAAATATAGTATAAAATTCGAAAGCTTTCAGATTTTTTTTTAAATTTTTAAATCCTTATTTTATTTGCATGAAGAAACTGGGTTTTCTATGTGAAACTAAACTTCATCGGACTGTTGATCATATAAGGGTGTGTTGTACTGATAACGAATAATCTCTGTTTTAAAGAACATTCCTAAAAACCAGACATTTCCGCTTCTATGTGATAACGTTTTGCGAAGGTAAAAACACTTTTAGAACACTTCACTTTAAAGAAATGCAAACGGAAACAAATATATATTCTTGCCACCATTATCAAACAGATAAGGAAAATTTTAGTCTATAAAATGAGCCGTGGTAAGAAGCGTGGAAATTATCATGATTGAGCTGACCAGTGTAAAATTATTACGGAAACAAAAAACAAAATCGAAGATTTCTATTTATTAAAAGTTACAGAAATCTAATTCTGTAAGAAATTACTATTCTTATTTTATTCATAGTTGGGTTATTAAAATTCTAGCGTCTGTCTTATCTAGGTGAATAAAGTAATTATTGTAAAAAGTGGAATATATAATGATTTTAATGCGTCCAATTAGTGTAATTCCTTTGAGTCCCTTCATAGTTTTTTTTAATCAGTATCAGACATATTAACTTTGAAAAAAAAATTAAATACTTCATGCCTTTCCGAATGCAAAAACACTAGCGCGTGAAATATAAAAGTATTTATAACAGATAATGGCAATACATTTCTTTTAAACTAATCATTAAATTTGAAAGCAAATATATATGCTTTGCTGAGTGGCAGCATGTTTCATGAGTTTCTGATTAAATTTAAAACGCAAATAGCTTAACGCTTTTACAGAATGGCAACACATCGCTTTCAAATGAATAAGTTCGTTAATTTAAAAATTTTTAAATTCACACAAAAATATAAAATACATAAAAATAAAGTCAAAATTCAAAATTCCGGTTACAAGGTGCACATGTGTCGGTGGAGGACTATGTGTATTAAAAATTTGGTGCCTTTCGATGCCGCCGTTTTCCGACTATGGGAGTAAAATACATACACATATACATACATACTCGAATGCATATAATGCATGTAAATGGGTACATGTATATATATATACTCGTATATATCTTAAACAAGTATTTGGAAAAGAAAAAAAAAGCTTCACAGGATTGAAGTAAAATTAATTACTATAAAAACAATTGTTTATTTTGTTTTTATTCTTTAAAAGAATACAGTATCTGGTGAAAAAGTATGAAAAAATTAAAATGTGTTAAATACTAACCCCTTGAAAAGTTTGATTTAAAGCATTAAAACATAGGAAGATTGGTAGTTTTATTTGTAACCTACAGTTAATATTTTTTTCTCACTTCTATTGCCTATTTAAAATTTTTTTCTCCGGCTTTAATTTTCTCACTATCAATTAACAGAAATATTTCTGTTCTGCATAATGTTTCCTCAGATAGAATAATCTTTTAGAATAATCTTTTATAAAATTAAAAAATCTGATGTGTACACCACATGACTTCCTTGTACGGAATATTAAATTATACGCATTTTTTCCTGCATTTCGTTTAAACTTATTGGATTGAATTAAATATACTTCGCCCACAGCGCATAAACCACAATAGAATAAATGCATTCTTTAAAATTCACTCTATTTGTTTACCATAGCGACACTCTGGCTCTACGTTCACTTAACAGTATTATATTTCGTTCATATTATAACTCAGAATGCACAAAATTTATATAATTTAAAGAATTATCTAATCGTTGCCACATGTTCTATTCAAATACTATAATAAAGCTAGAACGATGTGTAAAAGAAATTAAGCAAACAAAACAAAAAAGAAACAATTTTTCACAGACTATTGAGTATTTCTCATTCAATTAATTCTCACTTCGCGACAAGGCAAAAATACATAAAAACTCAAAATATCTGTATTAAAAATTACTAATTATTAAAAATTAAGTAAATCTTAAACACTTATTTCCTCGAAAAATTTCCAGAAAGGATTAAGCATGATTTAATTCGCAATAATAAAAGAAGGCGTTATCTTTGTTGTTGCGAAGCTAAGTTTCTCTAGATTGGCAAAAAATCCACTACTCTGCTGTTTCAAACGTAAACAAGCAATGGCCGCCATCAAAAAAATTATTAGGCTTAGCGGCACTTAAACAACTTTTAAATTGTATATAATTCTAAAAATATTGCATACAGATTTACCATAGGCATCAAAACCTTAACCGGAAGATAAGAAAAATATAATTCCATCATTTTTAAAACAAAAAATGTACAATTTACAAACATATAAGAGTAAAGAAACTGAGATCACTTTGCCGGATAACAGAGTGAATATATATATATATATATATATATATTTATATACGTTTGGTGCGGCCGATTGCAACTAAAATACGAGGTGCACATCTACATGTTATAGCAGTGCTACATACAAAATTTCCTCGTTCTGAGGCTACGCGTTTTTGAGTTATGCGAGATACGTACGATCGTACATACGCCACGAAATCTTCTCTTCAGAATTCCTTTTAAAGCAGTTTTATAATTTTTTTGGAGGAAAAGAGTCTTTTATTATGTCCTTATGTACAGATATCACGCAAAAACATCGTTAAATTGCATTCGAAAGCGGTCAAAATGGATATTTTCGTTGAAATATGCTGCCTGAAACATTTCGCGATTACAATACTTCCTTTTTACTTCGTACAAGGAAGTAAAAAAGAACTTTTTAAAACAATTGTTATTCATATACACTCTTTTGAAAAAAAAAATCGAAGCACTATGAAGGCAGTGGTTGTTTTTGATGAAATCCTATAACCCACCTGCACAATATTTATGCATTGGCATGCATACATGCGTGCATACATATATATATGCAGATTCTTGATTGCTTAATAAGAGATATAAGTAAGATACAAAAACACGCCGAACAACTTTGACTTCTAAATTAATAAGAGATATAAGCTCAAGCTAACGCTATCAATGTTTTCAACACTTTATAAATAGATGAATAAATCGCAAAAAAAATAGCGAAGAAAACCGTTATCAGAATTGATAAAATTATAACGTACTGCGGGGAATCAAGCGCTGTGTCACCTTTTTCAGTTAAGCTGATAAACGCCTTCTTTCAGCCGCTCAGAGAACGTTGTTGACTTTGCTACGAATTTTTTTTTTAAAACAGTAACCCGATTTCTCAGTTCTACACTTTGCAAAATGTCTGCAGACAACGATTGTGGTGCCTGTGAGAAAAAGTTATTGGTTAGCGGTGATGTAGGATGTGGCAAAACATCCTTACTATTCACATACAGCAGGAAAACATTTCCGAACTCAGAAAATCCGTTTCTCTACGAAAATTACTCCGCAGATGTTGAAGTAAATGAAAAAGTAGTGAAATTTGAGTTGTGGGACAATACTTGTCAAGATCATTACAGTCAGATACGAACATTAAACTATCCAGGCACCGATGTAGCTCTGTTATGCTTTTCTGTTGATGATCCAAACAGCCTGGAAAACATAAAAAAGAAATGGTTGCCTGAGCTAAAGTTATATTGTCCAAATATTCCTTTCTTAGTAGTTGGCAATAAAAGTGATTTAAGAAAGAATTCTACACTCGAAAATGCTGTGATTTTCGAACATAAGAAAGTTGCTAAGGAATTAGGTGCACATGCTTATCTTGAATGTTCCGCTAAACTTCAAGAAGGACTTCAGGAAGTATTTGAAACTGCAGCAAAATTAACTCTTTCGGTGCAAAATAAATAAACACTTTAGCTACCTTTAAAACTTTGCGAAATGTGCTTTTTTTTTATTGCTACTTAAACGGACTTTTCTTACAGTAATGCTAGAGTATGATCATTTACGTTTCTTTCTGCAATTGTATTTGCGGAAAATTCATAACGTGAAAATGTGCCAAATCTGTTGCTTAAAAATTTCATTTTATTTGTTAGAAATGTTGTTATGTTAATTGTGCGCTGAAAGATGCTTTTTAAACTGCGAACTGATGCAATACTATGAGACTATTTTGAAGTAACATGCATCGAATGAAAATTATTTTGCAAGTTAAATAACTAATCTTTCAGTGTTTAGCACTTTAATCGATATGCGCTTGCAGAGTTGTGATCAAAATTCAGGTAAATCGTTTAGTTAGCATAGTATTGTAAACGATATATTCCTTCATAAACTTCAGATTAAGATGATTTTATTAGCTGGACTGAATACTAAATATAGATGTTTCATTATTATCCTATTCATTTTAGTTTGCATCCTGATAAACGGCTAACGTAGTTTTTTGCAATATAATTAGTTAATTTCAAATTGCTTATAATCCATCTCTCCCTACAGCTAATATATATATATATATATATATACAGTATATATAAACAGTAATTGCTTGACATATTTGAATCTATATTTTATATTTCTATTATGTGTTAGTAAGTATGCATGTATTATGCACGATGAGTAAGAGATTCGGCTTACTAAGAAATACAGTGCTTTAATATTTTTAAGGACCTTAATTTGCTGAGTTGGTAACCAATTCTGTATGGATTATGTAATACTACGAAAGCCAACTCAGCGGATTTCAAGATTTCAGTATATATAAACTTTTAAGACATGAGTGTCTAAACTATGACCATTTGAGGGCCGCATTGTAAAGGAAAAAAAAATTGCGGGGCCGGATTGCAAAGAAAAAACGTTTGCGGAGTCGTGTTTTTTCAAAAAAAAAAAAAAAAAAAAAAAAAAAAAAAAAAATTGCGGGGTCACACATACAAATTGTAATAAAAATTAGCTTTATGCTGTTTTATTAAAATTAATTAACTTCTTTTTATTATTAATTTTTTTAATTTGAATTAGATATGTATAAGTACATATTTATTATTAATTTGTTCAGATTCACTTGTTCAGACCTTTGGGAATTTGCTTTTGTTGAACAAGCAGATCGATATCGGGTTCACTAGACGAGGTTGCAATTCTTAATGCATTTTCAAGATGTTTGTCAGTGATCTTTGTCCTATTTTTGTATGCTTCATTTTTTAAAATAATTGTTCACAAATATAGGTACTGCCAAAAACTGAAGACATTAATAAAGCATGATTGTGAAAATTATGATATTTATCGTGAGGTAGGTAATCTTTATAAAACTCCAGTATAGATACGTTTTCAAATTTTTCTTTCAGTTGAATGTCACTTTGCAGTTAATACATCATGACATACTAAGATGTTTTTATGTAAATTTTATTTAAATTTAATTTTAAAATAAATGCCAATGAATCGATTATATATGAATCAAATTCAGACATTTAGTTTCTTATAAAATTATGTAAATTTAAATACTTAAATAATTTATGTTTAGGCCGCATTTTAAAGACCTTTGGGCCGCACTTTAGACACCCATGTTTTAAGATATCCGACTACGTTCTAATTGTCAATTTCGATCATATTTTCCCAAAGATTTTTATTACTTTATTTTAAAGATTATAAATCAGTCTTTATAAAATGGCTGTTCTTATTCTACGTCGTGATCTTAAATTTTGTATTCAAAAACCTGGAAGTAGACACACAACTCTAAATAATTTTAAGAGAAAATTTTTCATTTGACTACGTTTGGTGATAGACAGAAGATGGAACCTTTATTATTAAGTGCTCGGAAACGAGATTAGTTTTGTAATTTAATTTTCATACTAGGCAACGTTTGTTTTCCTCCTGTTTGCGTTTGCTGTTAATGAAAAAAGAGAAATTTCTCGAAAACTAGCTAGTGCATGTACTCAAGCAGGCGTATTTAATATATATTTTACTTTGTCACTTAAATTTTAATCCGCTTAATTCATTATATCTTAATAAATATAAGGGAGAAAATAAAACTAAACTATTGATAATATTTTTGTGGGAACATATCTAGCAATCTTGATATTTCACATTTTTTAAACCAAAAAGTAAGGAAAAAAACCAAAGTTATGCTTTGATAATATGTTTAGCATTTGTTTCTATCTTTTTAGTAGTATTCTGCTTAATAACACTAATAATAGATTTATTTATACTATTTTCTAAAATTTAGGTGTTGAGCGTAACCGCATATCTTAACTGACAGTACGTTACTCTTTCAATGCTTTGAACGCAAAAGAAATTCACAAACATTTTTGTAATCTATTTTTCAAATTGTCTTTCAAAAGTATGTGTGTTGATTTTTTTATTTCTAGGGAACTTATATTCTGTTACGTTTTAAAGATATTATTGATAATTATTTCTTTGTTATCTTATTTAGTTTTAGGAAATATAATTTTAGGAAATTAAGTAAGAATAAAAGTTTTATCTAAAATTTTCATAATAAACTCAAATATTTCAAATTAAACATTAAAAACTCACTTATAGATTTATATGATTAGTATTTTATTAAAGGCATTTCTCAGTTAACACCTATTAGTAAATATTCGTCTTAAAGAGGCAAATTTTAAGGAAGGAAATTTAGTAACAAGTTCCTGTTTGTATAACAGTCTGATAATACTGATAGTTTTATATTAAATTTAGCTGTTCCAAGAGAACTAACATTAATAAGCTGTGATTAAATGGATACATACTTATTCTTCATAACTAGCGATACAGGTATCGACTTGTACAGGATACTAATACATTTAACTAAGTAAAATGTAAAGATATAAGAATACACCAAATCTGGGAACAATTTGTCATGAATTAGTAATATATAATTATAATTTAATAATATATTAGAATTATGTTACTTATACGTACCTGTATTCAAGAATACTGTGATTCAAAATTTGCACAAAGATTTCATTTTCTAGCATTTAGAGTGGTGTTACGTAATTTGTGGTAAAATCATCGTAAATAGATAAACAAAAATCATTAACTAGAAGTTTTAATAAAAGTTTGAATTCGCTCTGAAGCTTTTCCAGCTACGTCATATACTTGTATACAGAAAGTCGAAATAGTCAGCACTTTACATGCAAAAGAGAAAGCTATAGTATTATTAACTCTGTTATATTTATAGTATTGAAAAAAAATGTCTTACATCACACAACGATTCCAAATAATATAAATAAGAAATATTACAACTGCGCCAATTTCCTAAAATTCTATGAAAAACTAGTTATATTACAAGAATATAAAATCAGATAACCAAGAAAACACACAATTTTTCTCCTTGAATACAACTGATTTTAATGAAGTTCACGTGTAGATTATAAATAAAAAAATTAGTTGAGAATTTAAATTCATGCTGTTGTTTCAATTATTCTAAAATTATCATTAATGCAAGGTAATCAGAAATAGTTTGAACATAATGAGTGATGACAAATTGGATTGAAGAACGGAAAAAAGAATTGATAAAACTTGTAACCCATTTTAATAGCACTATTTAAAAATATGGAACTAACTGAAAGCGGTGGATTTCATACTGCATTTTAATTACACATTTTTTTGTTTAAGAACCATTAATAAATTATTTGTTTATTAATTTTTTATCGGTGTATTCTTTTTCACTGTATCTTGCTAAAATTAGAAACTTCTGAAATTAGGAATTAGGAAATTCTGAGATTTTAGAGTGTATATGTGTATTAGAATTATTCATATTTTCAAAATATTAAAAGAATGAAATTTCTGGATATAAAACGAGTGTCTATAAAGCAAGGTATTTATTTTCTGTACATTCCAATTCGTGTCCTGTTGGTTAATGAGCCTTAGCATGATAAATTAATTTTATTTTTTGTGAAAATTCGTAATTATATTTTACTTAAATGCGAATTCTGACAAATCACCTTAAGAATAATTTTCAGTTACTTTTAACCGATATTCGATAATTTTAGCAAAATGTTCAAAGTCATAAAAAATAATAATAAAAAAAAGATATTTACTAAATTGTGTATTATTTCCATGTGTTGCAAATTGTTTCAAAGTATTGTCTGAAACAGTTTACCACAGTATTAATCACTGCGCTTAGTTAATTTCTTTTATACCTTGACTCGACTAAAATCATCTACTATTTACCCATCTGCACATTTTCTTGTTTTATTAAAGTTTAGATTGCGAAAATATGCTTTTGACATTCAGCATATTAGCGTTTAGCTTTAATAAAACTGACTCGCAGCTAATTATGATATAAAACAAAGTTGCTTATTCAACAGCAAAGATATAATTACCTCAAAATATGTACTTTGTAAAACAAAATTATATGCTTTATGTGTTATTTAAATCTTTTGAAGTATGAAAAATATCTTGTAAATTTCATACATTACTGACATCTGTATTTTCATTTTGCAATGAGCACTAGATGGCAGCACCATGCAAAGTCAAACCACATAAGTTCTGTTTATGACTTGTTTTAATTGTAGTAAATGATTTTTTATTCTAACTCAGTTCGCAAACTTATACAGTTATTTTAACTATTAAATTTTAAATAATATATTCCCCTGTATTTTTATTTGATATTATTTAAATCAAAAGGGAAAAAATTTAAATTGAAAATCAATGAGATGTCTAAATTCATTTGCTTTCGAAAGAAAATCAGGCACCCGGGGTATCTGAAATTCTGTTACACCATTGGAATACAGTATCTAGTAATGTTGTATTGAGCTGTTGTAGTACAGTATCTAGTATGCTGTAAGTTTTATTTTGCGAATTACGTATTAATTTCAGATCAACTTTGTGTGTTCTTAGTTATCATTTCGAAGTCTCATCCTAAACATTTTGTTGCAATAAACTTATGTTTTAACAATGTAATAAAAGTCAAGGATAAAAATTAAATGCCTTTTATATCAATATACATTTTTCATTCATTTATGAAATCTACAAATAATAATTATTTATTTTAGTACTTATACCATTGCGTTGGTGCTGCCATCTACTGACAACTATAAGAATTATAAAACGCTTAAATATTGATTGAAGAAGCACAATTTGTTTATCAAAAAACAGAAATATAAATTTCTATTTTTATAAAAACGAATTTTTATTGAAAGACTTGAAAAATTTCGTTGAAGGCCAGATCATTTCAAATTTGAAAAGGATGAGGTAATTTCGTCGTAATATTTAAAACGGGCAATTTCTCGACATATCTAATCGTACTTGAAATCCGGATATAAAACTTGTGAAGAATTTTTTGCTTCTTCTTTTTTTAAAACCATTTAGAAACTACATTTCATAACCTAACTTCGCACATCTGAAATAGAACTTGGATATTCTGTTCTTATCAAATGATAACTGTTAAATTTGAGGCTTTGCCAAACAACATTTTCTTTTCAGGCAATAACAACTCCATATTCCCTAAAATATATACAAATATATAAATAATGTTTAAAATATATACAAATAATATTTGATATAAAATTAGGTAGCATACATTCAATATTTTCGAAAGCAACAAATCATCTGTAAAACGTTACTAAAGGAAAAAAAAAAAAAAAAAAAAAAAAAAAAAAAAAAAAAAAAAAAATCCAGTTAAACGAAGCTGCATAACATCATGAGCTCCATAAAGTTATTCATTTACGAGGGACTAACAATTCATAAAGTCAGGGTTCCACATTTACGGACTTGGTGCAAGGATAACAACGGCACTAGTCAGCACGCCACTCAGTCAGCTTTTCAAGTCTAGGGACTTCATGTGTATTGATTGGAAGCTGAGAATGCCCGAACTCTTTCGGTGCCTTCCGAGTATAGAAGTCGCAAATATAATTGCGAATATTATGCATTTGGGGATAATA